TTGCGGGCTAAAGACTGGACTCGGCCCAAGTGATGACTGGGACGAGGATTTCCTGCACAAAAAACACACGTAAACTGGTCTCGGGGGTTGTGCCGAGGAAGGCTCCTCCGATGCCGAAGTCAGTATAGTGTTTTAAAGAGAGAAAGCTATGTAAGAGAATTAATTGCTTGAGGCTTCAAGTGAATGAATGTAGAGAGAGAAGAATGAAGGCTTTTATACCTTGCTCCAATAGTTAAATGGGCCTTGAGATCAAATGGGCTTGCCACGTTGACCAGGCTTTTGACTGACTTGACGTATGTTTGGAGAGTTGAACCTTACTTTGGGCTTTTGTAATTAAATCATTTGTGGACCGGCCTAATTGGAGTGAATTGGACCCAAACAGGTTGTTTGCTAGCGGAAATATTTTTAAAAAAAATAAAAATAAAACCACATCAAATCATAAAAAAAAGCAAAGGGAATATTTTTTCCAATTTTAGATTGGAAATTAGAATTTATAAAAAGCCATGAAATTGAACTACATTTCTCTTGATGTACAAAGAAATTACACGTATGGGAAAAATTTTAACTTAATTACATAATGTGTTTAGTCTTTAAAACCACATAAACTTTTCATACAACATATGACAAAAATGATGATTATATTTGATTACTTATCAATTATCAACGCCGGATGAAAACCGTTAATTTAACCTTGCAGGTAGCCTTGGAATTAGGACTGCTTTCCAAGGAGTGCTCATGTAGGTCACAAGACTTGGGTTTTCACTCATGTCAATTTCCTAAAGCTTAACCCCATTCGGTGGGTTCCAATCAAAATGGTGCAAAAGATGACCTAAGGTTAATGTCACCAAGTTAATGACCACTAGTGCACCAGGGCAGATTTGTCTTCCTGCCCCAAAAGGTAGAAAACGGAAATTGTACTCTTCATATCAACATCTTCCTCGACACATTGGGATCAAGACCCAAGGTCCACACATTCACATAGACAATAGAGCCCTTAGGGACATTATGCCCACCAATCTTTACGTGGATTTTGGTCTTGTTATCAGGGGTTGTTTGAAAAGGAACGAAAAAGGAGAAAAGTGAAGGATTTATGTCTTCGTCGAGTGCAATTACTAGATAAATAAATGGATCAAATTATAGACATAATTAAGTTCGTCCATTTGGGTCGTCGTTATGTCATAGCTAGAGGTACCAACGGTCTATGGGCTGGTAAAATAGGCCAAAGCCCAATTGGACGGATCCTATAAGGTCACATAAAGAGCCTAGATCAAGCATAAGAGAACGAGGCCCATGATGGGCCTCATCCCCTAGGTGACCGACCATATAGAGGAGTATAGGAGGGTTTGGGCTTTGCTCCTAGTCTAATTATAATGGGATTATAAATAGACTAGGTGCCTAGGGTTTAACATAACAATTCATGATCAGTGAGATCAAACCATAATTAGCTAACACGAAACCCAACCACCTCAAACTCACCTTTCTCTCACGGATCTCTCTCTCCCTTGCCGCCAGTTGTGTGTGCTCGTGGTGGTGGTGTTCGTGTGTTAGTTGGTTGTCCAAGGAAGGTAGTGATTGTAGTTTTCCCTTTTACTCGACTAATCTAGCATTGGTGGACGTTTGATCAAATCCCGGGGACCAAGTAGAGGAGTCACGCTTGGGGCTCTATTTTCTCCCTGACTTGCTGATCGAATAGCTACGTGAAATTCACGCTTCAAAGGTATATATAATTATGTGATTCTTGTGTGTTATGCATGTGATCCTGATTTAGGTGCGTATGAATATGATTCATGAAATTCCGCTTATAGTACCTAAAAGTCCTACAGTGGTATCAGTTAGCCTCTTGCATGAACACGCTTGATTATCTATAATAATACTATTATTTGAAGTCCATGTTCATAATTTTATAACCAATCAAGAGGGAGAATTAATTTAATTATGGTTCAATTATTACATTAAATGTGATTTAACTCTCAATATTGATTAAATGTGATTTAATTTTGCTCAAAATAGCCTAGAGTGGACCCATTTTTTGCTCTAATTTGTTCGAAAATTTCGAACCCTAAACCCTATTTTTTGAATTTTTTCGAAATTATAGCCCTAAATTTTGATTTTGTGCTTGTTTTTGAATTAATTCGAATTGTTTTATATTTCATAATTTTAATTAAAACTGATTCATGCATAAAAATGTTTTGTGTATGATCATCATTTTAATTTTAAGAGTTAGAATTAAATTGGGATTAATTTTATGATGAACCCTAATTTTAAAATTGAATAGGGATTTAATTTTAATTTAGGACTAATTAAATTTAATTTTACAAAAGTTATTTTATTAAATAAAAAAATAGGGCTTAGGGGCGGCAACCGCGGGTGGGTGGCGCAGCCACAGTGGCTGCCGCCGCCGCTGGTCCAAGAGGGAAGACGGTCCGGGAGTGGCTGGTGCTGTTTCTCGCTGCTGCCCTTGCAGAAGTGGCTGCTCAAATGCGGCCAGCCACCGTCGCTAGCATCGGCTAGCCAACCACGGTGGCCAGTGGCATGACACGGTTTTTTTTTTTAAAAAATTTTGTTTTAAAATATTTTCAGAAATAAAATCAGATTTTATTTTAGGGATAAAATCATATTTCAAAAAGTTGTTAAATTTGGTGATTATCCATAATTAAAGTGGTTAATTTTGGATAAAATCAGTTAGGATATTTTTAGCATATTCCAAAAGAATAATAATTGATTTAAATAATGTGATTATCGCATAATTAGATTAGAAAATAATTGATTTTTAAATTATTTGATTGGCTAGTAATTAAGATAGAATCTCCTAAATTAGTTAGGATAATCATGGAAAATAAATGTGATTATCTTTCCATATTAAAATAAGATTTGATTCTATCTCATGCCAAATTTAAAATATATGATATTTCATAGATGGCAATGAATAATATATGATATTATCTAATTATGATTAAAAATATGAGATATTTTAGGAATTGTGAACATTCGATGTTGTAGTTTAGGCAAACATGCTGAGTGATTTATTATATGACACTTTTATATAATATATGATATTATGTTGCTATATATAGACTAGTATGGCCCATAGATTCTAAATACGATCTGCGCATCGTGATGTATTTTTGTAATCTAGCTAAATACGGTATGCGTATGATGAGTGCCATTTATGGCACTCAAATGGCATTATTTTGGGATGATTTTAGTTGTTTTAATAGCTTTCTTTATGATTTTTCCCTTAGTTTTAGTCTTTTATTCTCTAATTAGTCTCATTCTAGTCTTTTCTTCCTTTTTCTTGTATTTTCTTGGATTTTATCATTTTTTCCCTTTTAATTGTTTTCCTTTCTTTATTTTTAGGTCTAAAGTGAAGTCCAAGGCCCTTCATGGTGATTCCTCGGGTTAGAAGATGCTCAAAGTGCAAGGTGGAAGCTCTCATATAGCTCACAAAGCAAGGGATGGCTTACTCCAAGACTTGATGTTTGCGCCTTCATGATTCGCTCTCATGAACGTATGGTGTTGAACCCACCATAAACTCATTTTGGGATTGCCATCCTCAATGACGCTCAAGAGGAGTGCACCTCTTGCATTGAAGAACGCACGGAGGAAGTCCCACGTTCCAGTGACGCAGGCGCACAGACTCCACGCGCGGGCGCGCCACCTGAGCTCCCTGTTCTGTACCCCATTTTTTCGCGACCGCGCATTCCGGAGAAAGAGCGCACCTGTACGGGTATCTTTTGGACGTCTACTTTATTTCTCCTTAGTTAGTTATTCTAGAGAAGGAATTCCTTTTCGAATCATTAGAAAGGCTAGAGAGAGAATTTTGGAGTTAGTTTTCTAGTTCTTAAATTTTAGAGAGAGAAACTTGAGAGAATTGGATGATTTCTACATTTGATTTCCTTCTACTTTGAATTCAAGCACAATTTATTTGATTTGATCAAAGTTTGCAAGATTCTTCTTCTTCTTAATTCAATCTTTTGCAATAGATTTTGATCAATTGTTGCATTTACGAGTTTATTGATTAGTTTGATTCTTAATAATTTGATTTGCAATGATGTGATGATTTTGATTGTTAGTTTAGTTTTGTTATTCTATTCCAACATGCTTAGTGAGTAGATTACTTCCTAGGGTGATGGTGAAGCATGCATGAATGATGAATTATTGCTAATTGATGGATTTTAATTGATTGAATGTTGTGATTAAATTGGTTGATAGAATTGTGCATGTGGTTGAATTATTAAGGAGTAGCTAACCTTGATTTTTAAGCTAGATTGCATTGTATTTCCTAATGACACGAACCATTGATTTAGGGATTGCAATTATTGATTGAATTTAATTTGTGATTCTTCTTGCTAGTCATTCATAGAGGAAACCTAACTTGACTTCTAGGAGCTAACCCTTAGAGTTCTCTTTATTGCAATTACTATCCTCCTTTACAACATTTGGTCGATTGATTTCCCCTCAATTGGCATACCCATAATGATTGTATGTGGATCCTATCCCTAGTCCTTTTGATATTGAATTCCCTCTTTAGTCTAGTTGTTTGAGACCATAGTTAGTCATTTTCAACATCCTCCGTATTCTTCGAAATAGCTTGAACTTAGATTATAGTAACCTTCCTCCCATTCCTCGTGGTTCGACCCTTGACTTACCCTATACTTGGTTTAGGATTGGTCGAGTGTTTATAAATTTTGTTGTAAGGTTTTAAGCATTTAACGACGTGTTTGGACCGTCTATCAATTGGCGCCGTTTCTGGGGAATGACGTAGTTGTTTGCTATAGTTGTTGAGTCTATTTCATTTTATTTGAAAAACACAACAAGATTTTCCCCTTTTTGGCTACATTTGTAGTCGTGCTACTAATAGTTTCTTTTGAGATTGTATGCATAGAGCACGTGGTCGTTCTCTAGTGTCATTTGATCCGGAAATAGAGAGGACAATTACGAAGATAAGAGTTGCTAGGAGTTCCTCAAGTCCTTTAAGATAAGAAGAAGAACAAGAAAAAATGGGAGAGAACCCAAGAGTGGCGTTGAAGAAATTAGGGATTCCGGGTGCATATAGGTTTGAGAGCGGGATTGCTCCACCTACAACACCGGCGAATGATTTTGAAATTAGACTGGCAATGATCACTTTTATAGAGAGGTTACAATTTAGTGGGGCCAAGCACGAGAGTCCTCTAAACCACTTCAAAGAATTTGAGAAGTATTGCAACACTATTAGAGTGAATGGAGTTTCACAAGAGTTCATTCGTTTGAAGCTTTTTCCCTTTTCTCTCATAGGGCGTGCCTTGGAATGGTTGGATAAAGAAGTCAAGCCAAACTCATTAAGGACATGGGATGAGGTTACTAAGGAATTTATATCCCGGTTTTACTCCCAAAAGAAAACAGCGGAGGCAAGAGCACTTATCCAAAGTTTCAAGCAAAGATCCAATGAAAGCCTCTATGAAGCTTGGGAAAGGTACAAGGATTATCAAAGGGAGTGTCCTCACCACGGAATTCCTACCTACCAAATCATTCAAATCTTTTATGGTGGTCTAAGCCCTCAAAGGAAGTCTTGTCTTGATGCGGGAGCCGGAGGACCCATTATGAACAAAACGGAAGAGGAAGTTGTGGATATCATTGAAGATGTAGTGAGGCATTACATGTATTGGCAAGACGGTGAGCGAGAATCAACAAGTAAGAGTGGATCTATGGTTTACTCCTTTGACCACCTCAATGCCATCAACAACTTATCCTCACAAATCTCAAATCTATGGAAGGAGATGACTTCCATCAAAGCCAAATTAGAGAGTGCTTCGTCTTTAGCACCTATTCTTCCCTCCCAAAATAAGGGGAGAGGTACATCTTCCAACTCTTCCCCTCTTTCTACTTCCAATAACATGCCTAGTGGATGCTTGTTTTGTGATATATGTGGTTCGTATGAGCATGATTCTTGTAATTGCCCTCATGCTTTTTCGGATGGATATGATGATTTTGATAGTAATGAGAGTGATCATGTGAATTATGTGTCTAATAACAACAATGGTTCAAGGTTTGATAATAAAAGAGGCCAAGGGAATAGGAACTATCACAACCAAGGAAATTTTGACAACTATAACCAAGGTAGTGGTTATAGGAACCGAGGAAACCAAGGTTTCCGAGGTAACTATAACAATCAAGGTTATAGTGGCCAAAATCAAAGCCAAGGTTATGGTCATCATAATAAAGGTTATGGTAACCATAATCAAAGCTATGGCCAAAATCAAAATAGGGGAAATTTTCAAAAAAAATGCTCAAAGGGGTCCCCCACCCGGTTTTGCTCCAAAGACCCAAGGTCAAGGTGATAATTCCTATGCTCAACCTTCTTTTTCTTCTAGGTCTAATTTGGAAGAGATAATTGAAAATCAAACTAAGATTTTGAACACATACATGATAGTTAGTGATAAGAAATTCAATGAAATGATGACACATAGCAAGATGCTTGAAACTCAAATCACTCAACTAGATAACACTTTGAAAGAGAGTACTAGTCATACTTCTCTACCCTCTTAAGGGATTGGACCTAAGAAACCGGCCTATTCTATCACTACTAGGAGTGGTAAGGTCCTTGAGGAGAGTATTTCTAGGAAGAGTCAAGAAGGTGAGAGGGTGAATGATTCATTCAACGATGATGAGCATGATGTGTCTAGCAAAAAGTGTGAGGTTGCTAATGAGAAGGCCAAGATAGGAGAGAGTGTGCAAAATGATGTGATCAAACCCAAACTTCCCTACCCACAAAAGTTCTTGAGGAGCAAGATTGATGATCAATTTGGAAGGTTTCTTGACATGCTTAAGGAAATTCATCTTTCTATCCCTTTCACCGATGCTTTGAAACAAATGCCAAACTATTCTAAGTTCCTTAAGGAAATTTTGAGTGGAAAAAGAGAGTGTAATGAGGTTGACTCGATGAAGGTTGGGGAGTGTTGTTGTGCTCTTATCCACAATGACTTACCCAAGAAGATGAAAGATCCGGGAAATTTTTCAATACCTTGCAACATCAATGGAAAAGTGTTTCAAAATAATCTTTGTGAACTTGGTGCTAGTGTTAACATAATGCCATATCCCGTCTTCAAAAATCTTAAGCTAGGTGAGCTCCTCCCAACTAACCTGACCCTACAATTGGCCGACCGTTCTATTAAGTTCCCCAAGGGTAGAATTGAGGATGTCCCCCTCAAGATAGGAGAGTTCACTATCCTTGTTGACTTCATTGTGCTAGAGGTTACGGAAGATGACAACATTCCTATCATTTTAGGGAGACCATTCTTAGCAACTTCGGGTGCCTTGATAGATGTGAAGGGTGGCATTATTACCTTGTGTGTTGGCAATGATTTGGCTAGTTTCAAGCTTAAACCCATACATGAATCCCTTTCTTTTGTGCAAGGAATTATGTGCATAAATTCGCTTCATTTGAATGATATGCCTTGCACTCTTTTGTTGTCTACTAATGATGCCATTAAAGGTTGTGACAATGCTTCTATAATCATTGATATCAAATTGGTTAGTGATGGCAAGAAAGAGACCTCATGTCTTGAGGATGTGATTGAGATGTCGGATTGGTTTGGACTTTCTTTGAAAGATGATGTGAGTAGTGGCATCGATGGTATGGAGTTCTTTGCCTTGGGAAAGAAGAAAACAAAGAAGAGAAAGAAAATTCCCAAGAACAAGAAAGAGAAGTTGAAGCATAACAAGTTTGATCCGGTTTTTATGATGCAAGATGATATGTCTCATGATGTGGTTTTGCCCAAGCTTGGCAATGACTTTTCCCTCTTCTTCACTTTGGACAAGGTGGCCTTCTTTGACCCTTCATGACTTGGAGGTAGGGTTGAGCTAAGGACCTTAAGCAAGCGCTTTCTAGGAGGCAACCCGGCCCTTTAACTTTTCTATTTTCATTTTAATTTTCGTTTCTCTTTTCTTATCTTCTCTTTCTTCACTTGTTTTTGTGTTTATATTTGTAGGGTGTTTTCATGCGATTTGGATCCTTTTGATCAAGCATGAGCATCATTTGGAGGGGTGTTAGGTGTTTGTAAAGAGAGTGTACTCGATATTCTCTGATTTTGAGCCAAGTGATAGAAGGTAAATGCAATGAAGAATCCTAGAACGAGGTTTTAAGAAGGAGTAAGAGGCAAAACAGGGGTGCGCGGGCATGTAGAAGGAGTGTGCGGGAGCTCCAAATAAATGCCGAGAGCAAATCAGCAGTGCGACCACTAGCATAACCTACGCACGGGAGCGCACGAGCCCAGCCGAGGCTTTTCCTTCTTTCTTTCATTTCTTTTTCCTCATTTCTCACTGTTCTAAATTTCGACTCTTACTCTTTCTCACTCTAAACTTCAAACCCTAACTCCCAAATATTCCAAAACATCATCCTAATTCACAAATTCCCCTCACAAATCCATCAATTCCCACACAATTCTCCTCAAATTAACCATTTTCCATACTACTACTCACCATTTCTTCTTCTTCAAGCTTCAATACATTGAAGCTTTGGGGAATTTCGAATTTTGGTAATTTGGTGCTCCAAACTTGGTTAATCTCACTTCTTGTATGGTATAATCATCTTCTCTACTCTTATTTTAGCTTGCTTTATCATATTTGGATGAGAATTTGATTGTTTCATACTTGTGAATAGTAGTAGTATTGATTTTGGGTATTTTGATGATTGAATTAATAATGTTGGTTCTTGTGGTTGTTGTTTACTAATCTTTCATGCTTAACAGTAGTTGTTGTTGATTGTTTAGCATTGTTGGTGACACTTTGGTGAAGTTTTGAAGTTAGGTATCATCTCCTTGTTGGGTGATTGTAGTGGTAGTATTGTGGTGGTTGGTAATATTGGTGTTGGTGGTGCTTGTGATTGTTAAGTTGAGTTGTTTGGTTTTCATCTTTGTGGATTAATCATGTCAAGAATTTTGAGATCTTTGTCTTCGAAAAGGAGGACGGGGAAGGAACCCCAAGTGAGGATTGAAGAGCCCCGGAATGAAACTCAAACACAAAACTCCAATGAACCCTTACCTCTACCAACTCTAAAATTCCAAAACCCATTGCACAAACAAATTCACGCCGACATCAAAAAGAGAATCATTAGACCCTTCCGCCATTATCATAGAGATGACATGATCAAATTGGGCATAAATGAGGATTTGTAGATTCTTTTTGGAAACCTATAGATAGGCACATTTGTAAATTCCGCCTACCGAACATATGTCGAGCCTACAAGGGAGTTTCTAGATTCTTTCTCCACCACTCCAATTAGTGATGCCGACTTTGAATATCCTTCCAACTTTTCAATGTCCCTGATACCCTTTCCCTCCGAGAATTCAATGAGGCCCTTGATTTTAACCCCGATGCCGATCTTCTATTCCCGAGCATGAATATTTCAATGGATATGCGAAGTTTGCTTGGTGGAATGCAATTTTGGGGAAGAAGCAATTTACCGCTCGCTACTCTTTGGCTAGTGACATTTACCAACCATGTCTTCGAGTTTTGCATAGGATTTTGGGGCATTCGGTCTTCCCCAACAAGATTTGGGTAAAATATCCAAGATTGATTTGATGGTTCTTTGGTTAGAAACAAGAGAAGAGTGGCGAGGGAGGTTGAACGTGGGTAATCTCTTCATGGGGAGTTGTGTATCTATGGTGGGAGGAAGGAGAACGGGCGAGATTATTTGTGGGAGTATGGTAACTAGGTTGGCTTCAAGGCTTGGTTACTCCTGCTACCTTGCTTCATGCACTCTCGTTGGTGATGCAAACGACATCTACTTCGACATCCCCTAATTTAAGCAAGTGAACTTCATTACAAAGAATGGTGATGATGATGTAGTTGATTGGTTAGTGAGGCATGAGCGTCAGTGCTATCTCCTAAACCCTTCTTTGATCTCTTTGCAAAGGGATGCTCTGAATGTTTGGTTTGTACCTTTGAGCAACCGGTTAGCGGATGTTGAGGAGGAGGATGAGTATGATGATGATGATGAAAAACAACGACAACAACGACACCAACATCAAGACCCTAACCAAGATTTGGAGGCTTTGCAAGCACAAATGACGAGCTTGCAACTTGGCTTGGAAGGCATGTTTGAATAAGATTTGGCGGCTATGCACACACAAATGAAGAGCATGCAAACTGGCATGCGAGGGATCATGGAGATGCAACAAGGTATGTTTCTCCAACAACAAGCTTTGTTTGATGCGAGCGTCAACCGGGGCGAAATCACCCCCGCGGTCAATTATCCATATTTTCCGCCACAACACGGTCCTGTACCGTCTTGGGGGGGGTGATGGTAAGCCCACATATCCATTTTTGCAAGGTCCGCAAGGACCTAGTACTGAGTTGCACTCTTTTCCGAATGAGCACGATAACTATGATTACCGTGTGCCCGGTAGGAGTGACTATAAGGGTGATCCTAACTACCCCTATGTCGATCCCACTCACCCCGCCCCCCTTGAGTCGCCCCCACAATTTACTCCCTTGACCTCTTGGCAACAAGACAACTTTCGAGGTCATTATGGTTGGCCACCCGGTTATACCGGGGGATGGGATCCCTATGGACCCCCGTTCGGTTTTTCCTTTGATAGGAGGATGCTGATAGTGGGGCCGGTCCTAGTGGACAATAGACCTCTAATTGTGCTTTTTCCTCCATCTCTTTGATTGTTGATACTTTGCTTTGTATGATGGGATGTTGAGATGATCTCTTTTAAGCTTGGGGGGACTTTTCTTCTTTGTTTATGGAGTGGTGTGGGTGTCTCGCCTTGTTGTGCTTGTGCCTTATTTTCTCCCTTGAGGATGTTGTTGGTTGTTGTTTTGATGATGATATTTCTTGATGATTCTTGTTGTTTTGATTTTTAATGATGTTTCTCAATGATGGTTCTTAGTTTTTGATTAATTTTTTATTGTTAACTTGAATAATGATTGTGCTCCCTTTCAATCCAAATCCCATGAATCCAAATCCCTATAATCCAAATTCTTTCTAGATTAGTGTATAATTTTATTTTGTCGTTTTTGTTTTGAAGTTACTAACATTTTTCTTTGTGTATAGTCTATTTTCTTTCTCTCATTTCCATATAGATCTCGCTATGCTTCTTGAAGCAACATGGAGGTGTAAGCTTCTCTTCGCTTCCTTTATAAGTCTAGCTTGGATCGTTTGGTGAGATCTCTTTTTTTTTATCTTTTTATCATTCTTTCTTGTTTGCTTCGATTAGGAATAGTTTAGGAAGAGTTGAACGGTTTGAGGATGTTTGCTATTAACACCATAAGGGTGTTTGGGGTCATTGGCTTTGTAGTCGAATGACCACTTGTTTGTCGATTGGGATTTATATGATTTTGCATGCATCTTTGTGCTTTTCTTTTACTTTCCCTATTCTTTTCTTTTTCTTATCCTTTTCTTTTTCTTTCCTCTTTTCATTTCTTTTCTCTTTTTATTCCTTTTGAACATAAAACATTCCATAAATTTTTGTTTGAGGCATTGTTTTATTTTTCTCGTTGCATTCGCTTATGAATTGGACATAATACCATTTGGACTTATATTTTGAATGAATGAACTCCTATACGGTAACGGTATGCATGATTTGAGAATATGCTTGGTTGACTCTAGGATAGAGTATGCTAAGATAGTGTGCTTAGAACTTTTGGGACCTTGAAGCCCTAGTCTATTTGTTTGTGGTAAGAAGGTGTTGCTTCCTATAGTGGATATGAAGCTAATAGTGAGTTTTTGCTACAACCATGTGAGGTTTCATTTTTCTAGCCTTCAACCTTTATTGCTTGAGCGGCACATGGATCCTTGACTATCGCTTACTTTATCTATAACTTAACTTTTATCTCCCGAGAACGCGACCGAACCATTTGAGAAGGACAAAGGCATCTTTTCGGGGTGGTAATTTTTTTTCCTTTTCTAGGATTAGATTTTATATTTATTTTTTTGTTTTGGGTTTACATTTTCCTCCTTGCTAACCACTTGAACCTTATACCTTCTTTTCTAGCCATATCTCTAGCTCTCTAGCCATTTGTTCATTTTTGTCTCCATTTTTTTTTTTTGGTTTTTGTAAAGCATGTGGTCCATAGTTTATTAGTACTTATGGGAGTATAAGTGTGGTTTTTGGTTCTTTTTCTAAGCAAGTTTGTGTTATGTAAAGTGTGTGCATAAAGGCGAATGCAAGTTGAAAAAGTCGTCCATAGTTAAAAGAGGCGAGGACAAAGCAATAAAGTATAATTAAGAGCAATAACAAATGCTTTAAAAATAAAAAAAAATAAAAAAAAACCAAGAAAAGCTCAAAAATATTTTGATGTAAGTGTGATCTCCCTAGTTTAGAGCATTGAGGACAATTCTTCATTTAACCTTGGGGGAAGCGTTCTTACGCTTTTTGTATATATGTTTTTGATTTTTGCTTTGAATAAGCTTGGGGTAGTTGATGTTTTTGTTTGGTGATTACTTGATTATGGTGTTGAGGATTGATCACCCACTACTAGAAAACAGGCAAATTCCAACGGACTAGTTCCGACGGACAAGAAATTCCGTCTGAAAAATCGAAATTTCCGACGGATTTATGTTCCGTCGGATATTTCCGACGAATTCAACAAATCTATCGAAAATCCGTCGGAATTTACAATTTCCGACGGAAATATAGTTCGTCAGAATTTTCCGTTGGCATTTAATTAAAAAAAATTAAAACCTTTTTTTAACAAACCTTAAAACCGGTACCTCTCTTTCTTCTCTTTCTTCCGCATGTGCTCCTTCTCTTTCTCTCTCCTCTTCTCTCCTTCGTTCTCCTTCTTTCTCTGTTCCTCTTTCTCCTTCATTCTCTTTCCTCTGTTCCTCTTTTTCC